GCCAATAACACTTCTTGAATCTATCAAAAAATCTTCACTAAAATAATAACAAGTAGAATAGCTAAAGTATGTACAGATCATCGCATACTATCAAAACATAACTGGGTAGCCTTGTCTGGTCACAGTACTAGAGAACCTATCACAATAATCAACAGTATTCTAGAAGATGCCCGAGAATTAAAAAAGCTCTGCCACATATTCTTTCAGGATATGAGTAAAGCTTATGATACAGTCAATATCCAAAGGCTAACATCTGCAATAGAATATATCAAGATTTTCAAACAAATTCAAAATATCATAGAAGCATATTTCACAGATAGAACAAACACAGTTATTATATATTTTGGAAACACAGATCCATATAAGATACAGAAAAGTATAGATCAAGAAGACACAATATTCCTCATCCTTTGGAGAATATATTATGATTCCTTAATTAGTAGAATCAGTAAAATGCAAGGATATTTACTATACTATCCCAAAGGCTTGATAGACTTAAAGTCAAAAGCTAAAAGATCAACATTTCCATAACAGCATATATGGACAACACAACATTTATCACACAAAGAAAGAAAATATGGAGCTCATAATCACAGTTATCAGCTTCTTCTACTATCTCAATGATATCACAGTGAACCCATCCAAATCAGAGCTTTTCATAATCAATGACTAAAAAAAACCTATCATTTTCCAAGATCACATCATACAACTCATACTTAACAATGACTCTATCTGAGTTCTAGGTATCTGGTATGAAGAAAAATGAAGAAAATGCTACTAACAGCAACTCATCAAGAAAAAAGTCAACAATATTTGCTAGGCCTTAACAAGCAAACAACTAACGGACAAGATATATCAATACATAACAAACCACGTACTCTTTTCTCAAATCAAACATCGATTACAGGATACTATCTTGTCAAAGGAAGACATAACCAAGCTAAATGCAAAGATAAGAACTAACTTCAGATGGAGAATCAAATTAGCAAAAACATGTTCCAATGCGATACTACACCTGTCTATTCTTTACAACATAATAGAACTAAAAATAAGAAAACAACAAAAATTCGCAAGTAACTTTCAAATTTTGTACACAGCAAAAAACATAGCCAGCCTGGTCACCAGACTCAAGATTCAAAAACTCCAATATGATGCCTAGCAAAAGACCAGAATTACTGAAAAGTACCCAAAGGCCCATAAAAGTGGTTTCAACTTCCTACAAAATGGACTCCGATAATACAAAAAGCAAACATACAATTCCAGAAGATCCAGATAAGCCCATTATCACACTCAAGCAAACACCTAGAATTTCTCCCGGATGAAACCCAGATAAATCAATACTGACAGAACATTAAAAAACACAAAATATGTTAGCAAGATTAAATTCTAGATACGTTTCAAACAAAAACAATACAATGGCACCAAGTAAACTGTCTCAACTATAGATCAAGTAAAAAGAAAGAACCTAGATAGTACAAATATATCCAAGCAAGAATCAATGAAACTCTAATGCAATGGGCTATAGAAACAGGACTCAACCCACTCACTACAATACAAACAAAGTCTCAGGAACCAAAACCAAAGAATTGATTCTTCTTCAAAAAAGCAGGGCACATCATAACCGGTCAAAAAGTTAGCTAAAATAAATACAATATCAAGCTAAAGCACTTCAACACTATAGACAAGTCTCTAGTTAAAGTATACAAAGGATGTCAATTCACTACCCACATAGACTGATATAGTCACAATTGTTGCATTGAAGCATCAACGTTTTCACTAATGATAATACCAATTATCAAAACTACTAAGTCTAGTTGAGAAAAGAGTAACACTTACAAACTCAGATTACAGATATCCCTACAGAGCTGAACCAAATGTTGGCAACAACTCAACTCTACACTGGACTCAATAAGAATCATCCATGAAGCAATGAGTTCCATAACACTTAAACAGATTATAAAAGCTCAGGGCAATCTGCATACTGAGATATAAACAATTGGGAAAAAATTGAAAATAGAGCAATATATTTCAGTTTACACTGATGTAAGTGTCAAGACAAATGAAGAACAAAGAATGGAGATAGGGATAATTTTCATCACATATAACAATATACAACTAGAGCTCAACGCAACCTTCACAGGTTAGGCATCAACTTATAGATCAGAAATCCTGGCAGCCACCATCGCCTGCATTACAGCTGGAAAAGGAAAAAAAATCAAAATAGATACTGACTCACAAAACCTCATACTAGACTACTATAAGCTTACAACTAATCAGAAATTAGCCAAACATCAAGAGAAGAGGATGCTACTCAACTTTTACAAAATAACAAATATCTTACAACAACAGTTAACCTGATACAAAACATCCAAGAAAGATAACAATCCACTCCACAAAAGAATTGATGAACTGGTATATCAGGCAGCATTAAACAAGGATAAAAGAAACTGTAACACAATTCTTCACTCATGCCTAGAACCCAACTACCTGCAACTATACTTCAATAGCAATGCAGAGATCACTCAAAATATCTGAAGAGCAATCTAGCAAATTCATCAAGCACACCTTACAATCGACTAAAAACACCTCAACAGAAATATATCCACTTTTCAAGCCAATCACAAAGGAGTAGACTAGAAAACCAGTTGCACTTCTCCATCCAACAAAACTTATCAATCCACAAACAGATAAGTGAAACTCTCAGTAGCATAGTTTCTTCATTAAACTATGGAACCAAGAGCTTCCAATAATGGACAAACTCCATAAAAGATATCCTAAAATATTCAAACAAACAGTTGCTATAGCTGTGACAAGATAGAACATAACAATCATTTATTTATCTATCCTCATCACAATATCAACATTTACGAGGAGATAAACAAAAACATTTATAAAGAACTGCATTATAGGAAAAATGAAAAATCTCCTCAAATAACAATCAGTAAGTTTGAGCTCAGCACCAGAAATCTAAACATGCTAATCTTCAAAGGAGGAATCTATAAAGTCCTAAACAACCTAATAATAGAAACAGTTGGATGTGACAAGCTATCTGACACTTTTAAAAGTATTATACAATACACTAGATTCCTCATCTTTAATATTTGGCTTGATAGATATAAACAGATGCTACAATGGAAAAAAAAATATGGAATAAACAAAAGAAAAGAGAAAAGAAAACAACAGAGAACACTCAACAATGAAAGAATAACAATAAATGGGCCATAGCAAGCTAATACACAAGACATAATAGATAATATCCTGAAAGGAACACATAACATTTTTCACATTTTTCACATTAGTACTAATAGAGCCTAGGTACGTTAGTTCCTAATTCAGGAACAACAAGCCATAAGGGACTTTTCCAAAGTCAATTAGCTTTTTAATAGGTTAGTGTAGAAGGACATAAAAAAAAAAGAGTTAATAGTTAGCTAGCATTAATTCAAGTAATATGTACTGTACTAAAATTAATAAAGTAGGTCTGCTGCACTTAATAATAATAATAATAATAAAGGATAACACAAATTTAGAATACTTTCTTTCCATTTCAAAAAAATTACATATAATTGATAATTTTCTATTGATAATCTAATTGATTATTAGAACAATTTTAAATAACCAGCTGAATTTTTTATATATAATTTTATATAACTTGATATACTACTTATCACAAATTAAAGTAGATGAATTAATTAAGGTAATAAATAAAACAACAGAAGAAACTATAATAATACCTTAATGTAATTACTTTTTTTACAAACACATTAATTCTAACAATAACATTTTTCTTGAGAACAAAACTAGATAATTTATCAATAAATTAAGATTAATTAAGAAAACAAGTTAAGATTTTTTGTTCTCTCAATATGGCTAAAGCTATCAACTATAATTATGCTGTTAAATTAACCTATTCCAGAATTTTACCTTATTCTTTAAAATGCAATTACGTACTTGAATTAAGATACTAATAAGCTTAAGGACATAAAAACGGCAATCACTTAGGATTCTAACAATTTTTTACTTCAACCAATAGAATATATAATAGTAATATTAATATTAATAATAGTGTTAACAATATCTGAAGCAGAACTTGTACTCTAATATTGGATATATTTCGGTAAAGATCTTGAAAAGGGATTGTATCTAAAGATTAATTTTAAAAGCCGCTTCTTTATTAGCTAAGCTGTCGAATAACTTGACTTAGCCATTTTGTTCACGACTCAGCCGGAACCATTTGCATCACTAAAGATCGACGATCAATGGGGGCCGCTATATTAATTTAACTTGTTTTAATTATGTATTGAAATTCTTATACTGTAAATAGCCTTGTTTGCAATACGTGAATCTCGAAGTACAAAACATAATGAATTCAAACCTTTTTGTTTTGGATTTTTTTATTTCCCACACTATTATTTTACTTTATTTTTGTGTTGTCTTTTCATCACTTTTTGGGTCACGCTTGAAGCATTTTGGTCAGTACGGGTAATAATAATCACCACGCGCGCGATTTTTGATCATGCGGCCTTTCCATTGTTATGTTTATAAAAAGATTAAATCTATAATTAAATTCTTATGTAAATAATTATTAATTACTTGCTGTAGATATTGTAATAAATTTGAGTTTTTATTATCTTACAGTAAATTAGTTATAGAGTTCAATACACTTAAAATGCCGTATATAAATTACCCAATAATTTTTATTTGCATTTTTTTCAAACTGCATAATTGTTAAATTGCAAATAATTAATTTTATTATTATTTTTTATCACTTTGCGCTACATTTGCACAGTAAAAGAACGTGTCGTCTATTAATTTCATCTCGGCGTCTTAAATATCATAGTATTGTTATATATATTCATTGTACAAATTTCTTCGCAATCTCATTAAAAACTCATCGTATGCCGTTTGTAGTACACCCGCCCATGAAGTAGGATAAATTATGTCCTTCCATTCATTATGCCAATGATATGTGAACGCCCCCGGAAAAAAGTCTTCAACCTTTCTCACATCTAACGGTGATTGGGTGTGATTATTTGATCCTAATTCTCCGGGGGTTAGAGCTGGGTTAAAAAAATCTTTAAAATGGGTTAGATTTGGTACCAGCTCATGGTCAGCCTGTTGCCCATCTTGTCTTAGCCATAACGGATCAAACAATCCCACAGGTAACATGTATAACTGTCGGTTGATTTCCTTCATGGTGTAATTCCCAGGCGTAGACAGATACTTCACTATAAGATGCGGATGAAATTTCATGTCATTTTCAATTGCACGTTCCAGTATTTTCGTGGATGTTGGACTATGTTGTCGAAGTCGCAGTATGGCGGTGTTGTATCCTTTAGTGTAACTCCAATGGTATGAGAATTCAAAATCCGCATAATATAAGGGACGCATATCCCTCAATAACAGCACATCGGCATCTACATATATGCCGCCGTATTTATAGAGTACCACAAATCGTACCATATCACTTAAAGACACTGGATTGTAATTATAAGTCTTGCCAGAAAATATGTTAATTGAGGAGAGCTGTTCTAAAGTATTCCATGATTTAAATCTGATATTGATAGGAATAAATCGGAGCAATAAACGTATGTGTGGATCATCTTCAGGATAGCCATTATCATAAGCGGAGTCTAACCATACATAAAGAGTGGAACAGTTGAGAGGTTGACTGAAAAGGAAAGATTTCATCATTAATGATAGTTTATCTGCAATCGGACCCCTCCAGAATACGTGAAATAGCATAGGAGGATAATCTCGGCTACATATTGGCGGTGGGGAGGATGCATCTTTAATAGAGCGATTGGCAGAGGTGTAGTCTGATTCATTATAATTAAGATATCTAAGGCATTGTATAACCGGGAGGGGTTTTATGTCACCGCAATATTTTTCTATACGTTCAAAACTAGCAGTATTATTTTGGATAGGACGCCGACGAGCATTGGAAGTGAAGGGTGGAATAGTGGTCGATATAAAGTCTGTGGAGGTATCAACAGAAAAAGAAAAAAGTGAATTATTAAAGCTATTTACGCAGAACAGAAAAATAGCGGCTGTTGTGAGGATAAAAATTATGTGTAAAGGTCTATTATGAAGTTCTCGAGTATATTCTGCCATTTTTCTTCCAAGTGTATCTGCTTTATGACAATCCATTTGTAAGAGTAACGAAGAAATTCTTCATATTTATTGTATATACATTTTAAAAATGTTTGTCGCACTATTTCTCTATTTGTTAATTTCTAATTGGTAAGACATTATCTTAAAACGCCACGGACCACTATGGAAATATATCGGTGCACAGTGATGTTTATTCGGTTTGATAACATATTCGTGCTCTCGTAAGCGTATAAAAATTTTTTATGGTGATACCCTTTATATGCTATGGGAAATTAAATTCAGTATGTGTTACATATAAGTGGAGACTCTCAAAAGTTTAGATTCCTTCTAAATGGCATCTATTTGCTGAAAAAAGAAAATCAAACTGTCTAAAAATAGAAATGATTCTAGCAGTTTCGTACCTTAAGATTTTCGATAAGCGCAATTTTCTAAGTTAAGCTATATTAATGCACATCGCTATTTTAGTTAATTGCGTTGATGATCTTTGGATTTCCGAGAACCGAGTATTTAGTATACTTTATATTATAAATAAAATAAGTTTGTTAATTAATATAGATTTTGAAAATCTACTAGTAGTTTAAATTTTGTATATTTGATTAAAAAATCGATTATTTGCTTTTCTTGTTGTTTTTCTTTTGTTCAAGAATGCTATTTCATGGTTTCTATATTTATGAGACATGAATCTTTTATGAGTTTGCCTTTGGAGCATTCTGTGTATTGGATTATTATTATTTTGTATTTATTAAATGGCTCTTTACAATTGAAATGTATTAACTTTTTTTCATTTTTTGATACTTTTTCTAGATTAGTTCATTTGAATTTTTGTTAAGGATACATCAGACTTTTAATCCTTTGTCTCTTTTTTCATTAAGTATTGAATAGTCTGATTCCTATAAAGCTTTATTATTGTTCTAACTTCTGATGATTTTTTCCATTGTTTTTAGTGATATTGATTTTACAAATTTATTTTAACATTCTGGAATTGAACCTTTTTTCATACTTTGAAGAAGTTTAATCCACTTCCATTTTTTTAATTTTATAGTTTCCATTACTATAATTTGTTCTAGATGAATTAATCTATTGTTATATAAGAATGGAATAGCTTTATATACTCTTTTTTGTCAGGTATTTTTGAATTAGATTGTTTCCTCTCTTCTATTAAAAGATCATATATCATTTCTAGCTTTGAAATATTATTTCTATTGTAACAGGCTAATTGTTGAGTTTACTGTTAATGATCAAAATCTTGCACAATCTACAAATAAAAAATCTCATCTTTCTATTACACAAACAATAACATAAAGGCAAAGATGTAAAAAATTTGAATATATCTTAAGAAAGTTTTTCTAAACTATTTATAATCTTCTATTATAATATAAAAAAATTTGACAAACTCTTTCTATTGATCCTCTGACGACACATAAAAAAGATGTTTACAAGAAGTTTTTACACTTCTTTACTAATAAAGTCTTAATACTTTCCTTAAACAACTTGAAGTATAACTTCAAAAGTTGCTTCTATTCTTCCTCTATTGTCTACAAACCTTTTCACTCAAAAACATGACTTATAGTAATCAAGAAAAGTCAAGTATATCTTTGATACCAACAGCAAGAAAGTTTTCAAAAGAAGAAGAACTGACTGTGAAATACTTGAAGGTCTTTTTAACCTTTGAAATAAGAGGCTTATAAAGGTTTTCTATAGTAAAAAGACTTATTTTCACTCTTTTTGACTGTCTTGGTCCTCTTAGAGCTTTCATGTTTATGGATTTTTGAGGAATTTTGCCTACCTCAGTTTGACCCTGAATTTTGGATAGCACAAATTCTTACCAATGGTAATTGGCTAACATGAAACATATAGTTTTTCAAATATAAACAAGCTCATATTGGTTATAATCATGTATCTTAATACATTATTGATAATATAAGAAAGAAAGTTCTAGAAAAAGTATCCTCTCCATTAATGTATATTCAACCTTCAGAAAACAATTATAATACTGAAAGGTGAGTGACAGATAGGAATAGAAGATCCAACTCCTATTTCTCATTAAGTTCCTAAAGTAATGAAAAGGCTTTCTTGAACAAAAACTAAGGTCTCCAAGCTTTTATCCCAGTCAGGCAAAGTTCTTGAAAAGATTTTTTTTCCCGGTTAGGCAAACTCTTCCATAATATGGTACTAGCTTTACTAGCGATAAGTGAATTTATACATTGATAAAAGGATAAGTTCCTTAAATATTCTTCTTGAAGTCATTTTCAAGAATGACTGAGTTTCTCAAACATTATAAAGCTTAGAAAATATTCTAATCAAGCAAATCCCTTTCAGATAAAACTGTGAAATGAGCAAGAATCTTTTGAAAAACTTTGAATTGTATTTCCTCTTCCTTTTTTCCCCAGTGCCAACTTTAGTAATTCATCATTTTTCAGGATAATTAATAGTGACAAACTGTTGTCAATGACCTTAGTTAACTTAAAAGTACTATATCAAGCTACTAGGAGAGTGTAATATTATTCACTAAATCTAACTTAGAGTATCTAGTTTAGAATTAATTTTGTTTAGTCTGAACTAGCTTAGTGGTCTCCTTATATTTTTTAAGTAGTATGTTACTTTAACTAATAATGTACAATAATTAGTTAGTCACTTTGTAAAAAGTCTGTAACATATTCAGATATCTTTCAATATCTGAAAGATATACCAAAAGTGATATAATTGCAGTTTAAAAAAAATCTTCTATTATAATATTTATCAAATAATTTGTTATTTATTCAGTTATTAAAAGAGATTATATTTATATCTTTTTATACATAAAACTATTATATAATTATTATAGCTATTTTATTTTTTTTTTTAACTCACAATCTTATTAAAATGGCTTGTTTTTATTAAGATACTTAAAAAAATACCATAATAATCTACAGACCTTCTCACATAATAACTAACTTATCTTTATATATTATTAGTTGAAAGACCATACTACTTAAAAAATATGAGAAGTCCACTAAGCTAATTCAAATTAAATAAAACTAAGTCTCAACTGATACTCTAAGTTAGATTTAAGGAATAATATTATACTCACCTAGTAGCTTGACATAGTGCCTTTAAGTCAACCAAAGTTATTTCCAACAGTTTGTTACTATTGATTATTCCAAAAAATGAAATTGCTAAAGTTGAAACTGGGAAAACAAAAAAATAAAAAACAATTCAATGCTCTTTAAAAGATTCTTTCTTCATTTCACCGCCTCTTCTTAAAAGAAGTTTTTTCTAATTAGGATATTCTTTTTTGCTTCATTTGAACCTTGAAAGGAGACTTCTTTGTTACTACCTGTGACATCAAATAAGTCTTTATTTAAGTATACACTGGATTGGAATAGTTCAAAAGAAACTAAAAGACCTCAACTTCTACTTCAGAAATTTTTTTTACTATTTGAGAAACTTAGAAAAGTAATAGAATTTTTTTGTGCAGATTCATTTTATCTTTTGATGTTATAATTGTTTCCTGGAGTCGAATATACATAGTAGGAGAAGAACTTCTTCTAGAACTTTCTTTCCTATATTATCCATAATATAATAGGAATACATGATTGTGACCAATAGGAACTTGTTTATTTTTCTAAAAATCAATATATTTCATATCAGCCAATCACCTTTAATGAGGATTTATACTATCCAAAATTAAGGATCAAACTGAGGTAGGCAAAATTCCTCCAAAAAACCATGCAAGTGATAGCTTTAAGAGACCTACAAGTGACTGGAAGAGGAAAGCTAAGCCCTTCTTTATCAAAAACCTCTATATACCTCTCATTTCAAAGGTGAAGATAGCCTTCATATATTTTACTATTGGTTTTTTTTCCTTTAAAAACTTTCTTATTATTGGTATCAAAGGTATTACTTGGTTTGTTCTTAATCACTAGAAGTCAAGTTTTTGGTTAAAAAGAATTGTAAACAAGTAAAGAAGAGTAGAGGTTACTCTTTAAGTCACTCTTAAAAAGTTTTAAAAAATGTTTTTAAGACTTTTTAGGAAAGAAGCAAAAAAAAACTTCTTGCGAACATCTTTTTTATATGTGATCAAAGGATCAGCAGAAAGAGTTTTTTATAATTACTATAGCTATTCTAGTATTATTTTATACATAATTATAATATAATTAGCTAATTTTCTATTATTTCAGCTTATAGTATTTTACCTTTTGTTACAAATAGATTGTTCATGTATTCTTATATCTAGTAAGAAGTATAGTAATAGTCAATAATTAATTGTTTTATATAAACTTCTATTATATTATAAT